GGAAGAGGAGAGCCGTTTTGTTTTCTCAGCTAACTATGATTATCCATCCCCAGTTAACAAAGAGTATTATTGTAAATACTTTGCAGTGTATTTCCCCAGTAGCTGAAAAAGCAGACAGTGGATCAACCTAAGTAACGAGTGTACACAAAATGCAGAATGTCCTGTATTGACATTAAGGAAAACAGAAAGCAACAACATTAACAGGTGGAAGGTTTTCTGTTTCCATGTTTCCGAATGTATCTCCAAAGTTGCAACTGTCATTGCTACTCTGTCCCCACTCCAAGCCAGTGAGTCAGCTACATTACTAGAGGCCTCTCTGAATTACAGTGAGCGTTCATGAACCATGTGCACGTGTGGTGTCACTCATTTCCCCCTTTCTCCTTTCCTCCGCCCAGTGGGCTCCTCTTCTCCCCCTCTCCTCTTCCTCACTCTGCTTGTCATCTCTCTCTCCTTCTGGTAAGCCTTCAGCTACAAAGGCCTCCTCCATTTTGCATTGAAGTGAACCGTGTGACTACGTGTGTGTGTGTGTGTGTGTGTGTGTGTGTGTGTGTGGTGTGTGTGTGTGTGTGTGTGTGTGTGTGTGTGTGTGTGTGTGTGTGTGTGTGTGTGTGTGTGTGTGTGTGTGTGTGTGTGGTGGTGTGTGTGTGTGTGTGTGTGTGTGTGTGTGTGTGTGTGTGTGTGTGTGTGTGTGTGTGTGTGTGTGTGTGTGTGTGTGTGTGTGTGTGTGTGTGTGTGTGTGTGTGTGTGTGTGTGTGTGTGTGTGTGTGTGTGTGTGTGCGTGTGTGCGTGGTGCGTTGCTGTAGAGTGCAGCCTAAAGCAGCAGCCAGTGCTAGGGAAGTGTGCGCTCGAGCAGATCAATAGCAATTTTGGGTAAAAATAGCCCTTGCGCTGTTGGAGGGAGAGAAAAGGAGACGGAGGGTGACAGGGAGAGAGAAGAGAGGGAGGGTAAGAGCTGAGAGGAAGGGGGAAGATGGAAGTTTAATGATCATGTAGCGAAGAGAGGAACGAGAGGAACTGCAGGTGCTAATGTGTGAAAAGAGTCAGACTAGAAGTGAACTGAGAGTAGGAAAGAAGCTTTGACTCAAGAGAAGTAGTCAAGTCAGTATTTTAAATTCAGCGAGTGCCACAGTTTGGCATGGTTGCCATGTAGTCCAATCTTATTTGACATTCTACCATTTTGGGGCTGGGCGAAAAACAAATATATGCATGTCAACATTCTGCTGCCCGGAGTTCTGCTCACCAAACAAAAACAAACCGTCCAGCTTGTTAACTCGTTGGGACAGGTCTTTTTAGAAAGAGTTACCAACCTCATAGAGATCCTCATTGGAAACCCATCATGTAAATGGAAGCCTATAGTTGGGTATATATTACCACCACTAATAAACATACAGTCTGTGAAAATACACCCTTTCCCTGGCCACACCAACTAGCTCTAACAGGGGGTTACAAGGTGCTACCAGGCCATCTTGTATATATAATCCCTCCACCTGGTCCTGGGTCTGCCCCTCAGTCTCCTCCCAACTTGATGTGCCTGAAACACCGACCTAGGGAGGCGGCCAGTTGGCATCATTACCAAGTGCCCGAACCACCTTAACTGGCTCCTTTATACATAAAGGAGCAGCAGCTCTCTACCTTAGGGAACCTTATACCTAGGGGAGATGCCAGCCAACCTCTTTCCGGCTGCTTGTATCCGCGGTCTTGTTCTAACGGTGAGCCTTAATGACCATATGTGAGGGCAGACAAAAAGACAAAGACGGTACATTTATACAGTCCCCTGGTTTCCTGTTGAGAACCGTGGCCTCAGATTGGAGGGGATGATCTTTCTCCTAGCCGCTCAATACTCAGTCGTGAAAGGATCCAATGAGTGCTATAGCAATAAATCCATGCATTGGCTTCGAGCTATGACATTTAAAAATGACATATCCTTTCATAACCCTGGGTTCAAAAAGGATTAAATGCAGGTATTGATTGACTAGAGTGGTGTGGTACGAATAGGCACTGAATTGTTTCGCTTTGAGGTATCGAGTACTGAGACCCAGCCTTACAAGTGAACTGAGTAGAAATAATTCCGACTTCTTTTTACTACTTTCCCTTATATTTTGTGACCATATTTTTTGTTTTACTGACTAACTACGAAAAACCAAGTTGGGGAAGCACCTTCTTCTGGAGTAATCCATTTTCACCCAAAGCGTTTGCATTTTCCGACCCATCTCTACACACATACTGTATATTAGTAGAAGAAGTATATCACGAGAAATAACAAGAGACAAAGAGGCAAAACAATCCAATACCACAAAGATGTCCTCAGGGACAAATACAACAAATATGTCTCCTTCATTGATGGTTCATTCGAATGCCTTTCTTTGGCCAAGGGGTAAAATGCGGACTGAACACAGTGGTGAGTTATTTACACAGAATTGTCATAAATCAAATCCAGTGGTGGAAGAAATATAATGTGCAACTGAGATGGAGGAGAAAAAAGCACAACAAACTACTGAATAAGAGCAATAAGGAACACGAGATAACAAATAAATATAGAAGGGGGGTGGACATTCTTTTGAAAAGAGACACAGAGCTGGAAGGCAGAGAAGAAATACAATACAGGACAATTCTAAGCAACGCTGAACAGATTTTGAAAGGTAACTTAGAAAGAGAGTGTGACATAAAGAGAGAGAATACATCTGAAAGCAGAATTAGGACTGATGGAGCTTTTTAGTGAACATTATTGACAGGAGGAGAAAAGGCCAGATGTTTGTGCTATGTAGGTTAAGTGGTGCAGCGATGGGCTACTCTTTGGGACAACACACACACACACACACACACACACACACACACACACACACACACACACACACACACACACACACACAGACACACACACACACACACACACACACACACACACACACACATACATACACACACACAACAGAACACACACACACAAACACACACACCACACACACACACACACACACACATACACACACAGACACACACACACACACACACACACACACACACACACAGACACACACACACACAACACACACACCACACACACACACACACAGACACACACACACACACACACACACACACACACACACACACCACACACACACACACACACACACACACACACACACACACACACACACACACACACCACACACACACACACACACAGACGTGTCATGATGTGATCTGTAGGACTGCATACACTAGCCTTGGGAAAGGAAGGACATGAATTAACTTTAGGGTCTAAAGATGATTCACCCATCGCATACGCTACTGCTTTAGTGTACACACATACAGTATTGTATGATAGTTAAAGTAGTTGCAACTGTTTGCACTTACATCTGTAATGTAAGGGAGGCCCACTTTCTTCCGCTTTTCTTTAAATCCTTATGTCCGTCATGCTCAGAGCAGACTCAAAATGAGGTCTGGTCTGCAGCTCGGATTGCACAAATGTTTTGAGCCTTGCATCAGTTATTTCTGAACATTTTTGATGGTAGAGTCATTTTGGCGGGAGAAAGACGTTCAAAGGAAGCTGTGGGTTTGGCAGTGTTTCCAAAAAGAGTAGCAAGAAACAGTCCTACGTGTTAAAGTAAACATTGAAACATTATGGATTTTCACAACCATTGTGTCTATGTCCTATACCGAAATCTCGGTCTCATTTTGTGTCTTTAACATTGAAGATAATACCACAACAGACTTAGAGGCATTATTTACCTAATATCTTAAACCAACTATATACATGGGTGACTGTGATGTTTACTACTTGGAATTTTGTATAAACAATCAAAATAACAATGATAAAGTGATGTTTCTAAGCGATGGTTGTGTTGCAGTGCACATTAGATCATTGTCTCTTACAACATTAGTAACACTAGAAAAAGCATTTATAAAAAAGTATCTTTTACCTTGTGATTTAAGTACAATAATCTTTTACTTTACCTGACCAAGTAGTTTAGTTGCCTAACCCCTAACCCTAACCCTTTAACATCACCATGGTATTTTGTTGCATTTTTTGTTTCTACTTTCAATTTACAACGTTAACGGTGTCTTTAAACTGTGACATACACCTGGGGACATTTGTTTCCCTCGAAATGTAATTTAGAATCCAGTTTATTTGTTTGGTAATGTCATTTTTAGTAGACAGGGTTGTCGCGATGAAATTGTCTTATGCCACTTAATAACAGATAAAGTCTGAAAGGGATTCAGAGAAAGAGAGAGATACAGAGATCGAAAGGAAGAGGAGAGGGAGGGGAGTAAGAAAGAGGTTTGGTGGGTTTGGTGTCGAGCAGATTTGATGAGTGGGTGGAAAAGAACAGAGATAGGAGATAAGTGTTCATCAGGGAGGGCTGCATCTGTCAGTTATTCATTACATAAGTAATATGGATGCTCTTTAGTGCAGAACGGCATCAGTTACTATTCTGTAGAGAGGGGATAAAAGAGAGATGTAACACAATCTGTATACTTGAGACCAATATACAGTTTATAAACCCTCAATATTCCCTTATTAAGATGAAAAAACAAGGCATTACATTTGGTTCAATACATAAATGTTTTTAAACACAATATTTGCGGAATTTATCTATTTTGCCAAACTTGTGTGGATCTGTTTGGACATTCCAGAGATCACCTGATACTGTGGGTGGGTCTTTAACACGAGAAGTTAACGAAGAACACATCATCCAAGATGAGAAGTACAGAAAGAGAAACGGTTATACATATTGAACATATGACTTGTAGCCTTTTACATTAAAACATTTTGAAACCTACACCTGATTTTGTTCTTGTGCCCAATGTTCCTTAGCACCTGTACTAGTTGTAATGCTTTGGACTCTTGCATTAGCAATGAGCTTGAAGGAAAATCTTAGAAATCTGTAACAACATAATATATTGATATAGAAATAAGTGTTTTTTTGTGCTATTGTTATATAACAAGCTCGTTGTCACTAACCATGTTTTTTTTTGTACTCTCTGTTTTCCAGAAAAAGGAGTGGTTATGTCTCAACTGCCAGACCCAGCGGCTGTTGTCCGGAGGAGGTCTGGACGAACCTCCCCTTCCTGTTCCTCACCCGTCTCCCAAGCACCTGCCAATGGTCTCACCCCGTCACCAGGTGCCAGCCAATCAGCAAAGCCCTCTCCACAAGGCCACCAATCAGCAGGGGCCCAGGCCTGCCCAGCCGCAAACGCAAAAAGCGCAGGCGGGAAGTGGCGTGAGCGGACTGTTTGCTCCAGCTGCGGCTAAACAACTAACGGACACCAAGACAACGACACCTGTGTCAACCACAGAGACCCAGAAACTTCTGAAACCCACAGAGGAGAAGCCCAAACCCGAGCCTGAGAACCAAACTGACAAAGACACCAAAACCTCCCAGAAGAAAGGAGAGCCCATCACACCGATCAAGGAAATGAAGAAGTCCAAGCACTATGACGTAAGTCTGATTCCTTTTTTATTACATTGCTTCAGCCTGGTGTACAACTCTGTATGTTAAGCTATGGAAAATGAACAAAAGTTGACTAATCAAACAGTTGAATAGCTTGTGGAAAGTGAACCAAATAGAAGAAGAATTAAGCTGATTATCAGTGAATTATCTGTGGAAACCATAGTGTAACATATAAACATTATGTACCTAAGATTGCTTTTTCGTGAGCTTTTTAGCTATTATAGCATGTATGCAGGTTGAGAATGCTTGGCTGTTTCAGCGTGGCAATGCTTCACATTCATAGTTTTTTCCATCATACTTCATGAGCATAATGGAAGCTCTTGTTCATCGGCAGATATGTGTAGTAGACAAGATTAGGCCTACATTTGACCTTCAAAATCCTCACAAGATACGGGAAAAGTCCATATTAACAAGGCTTAAATCAAGTTGATGCTTGCGTAAACTATTCTGCACATCTGTACCTTTGTTTAAATGTATACTTATCGCGTGTACATACCAGAAATATTGTATTTTAATGAAGCTCACAGTAAACGCTGATCCGGTGTTGTACAGGCAGCTGATCAACGGCAGGATCAAACGTGACTGCTTCCTTTAGGGTTCAAAGAGCAGATGCCCTCTCCTAGCTTCCCTATCTCAACATGCTTTCTAAAAAGCTAATAAAACGACCCGAGGAAAGTCAGCGCACAACTTGTACAACTGTTTTCATGTCATCCATGATTGTTGCCATTTTTCTGTTGCTATATTTTCATGAATGTAGCTAAGAAGCTAGCTAGCTATGGAGCAAGACTGCATGTCCCCATTCTTACTTCCACTTCAGGTCCCCTAAAACACACTCAACAGCAGACTAAACACTTTGTTGACTTTGGTAGTACAGCCCACTGGCAAATATTGCCGTCCCAGCAGAATCTGACCTAGAAAGATGCATGTAATAAATGGACTATGTGACCAATGGACTTGGGAAGTGTATGTTGTCACACGTGAGAAATGGATGTTAAGATTTGACATCATCATGGATCCTGCCAGCGACCGGCAGCCTGTTGCCACATTAGATATCCTCCAACGTTTCCCTCAAGGGTTTGAATGCTGTGTTTAGACTCCAGATGTAAGTAAATGTTTGACAGTGGCTTCTTGAGGCCATTCATGCTACTCTGAATATAGCTTATATTACATATTGTTGATGACTAATGCTCATAGATAAGCCTTCAAAAGGTTGAAACGATTCCAGATGACTCCATAATCCTTCTATATATTTGATGTTTTCTACACAAATCTGACATTAGTTTCTCATGAGTATCTTAAACCTATTCTGAAAATTGTTCTCAGCTGCTGCATGCTGTTGTAATTTTGGAACTGATATTAAATCAAAGGCAAAATGCAAATGCAACACATTGTGCTCTTGCCAATATACCTTTGTTTATTGGTTTTATCTGCAGTTTCATTCAACTCTTTTCAAATGTACATGACTACAGTATCTACTGAGATGCATCCAGGTTTATTCTGGGAGCCTTCATGTGTTCACGATGAAATGGGATAGTTTTTGGTTTAGTAACAACCATTTGGAAACACACTTTCATGTTTGTTTGATAAAACAATTGTCTGGTAAAAAGAAAATATTAGGTCCCATGTTTGTTTTTGTTTTTTAGCATTGTTGGCTTTCATAATCTCTCAGTCGACTCTTTAAATACTTTTTTATTTAAAGCTTGTTTCGTTATCTTGAATTTCTTGTGTAATCGTCTCTATGTTAAAAATGACTCTAATATTTCATGTGAATTATATTTCAATTCTGTTTTGTGATCACAGCTTAGACCCAATGTTAAATATAGTAGCATATACAGTAGTCATGGTATGTTATGAGACACCCTATGATTGGACGTCCATGGCTGTTTGGAAAGCAGGTCATTGATTCCCTGCTCACAGACTTGCTGATGCTGCAAGTGGCAGCATTCATGGACTACCTGAGGGAGTGAGAGAAAACAAGAGAGGGAGTGATATAATTGTAGATTCCTTAGTCGGCGGCAGCCCTCGCACTCCCTGAAATATTTATTAAGATTGGCTGCTTTGGGCCTTTTCAAAAGCAGAGCAGACCTTCCTCATCAAGGTAGCTGCTAGGATTTTAAAGTGGGGAGAACTCGAAGTAAAGTCTCCTTTTTGATATATTGTCATTGTTTGGAGCTTTTCGAGCAAACATTTCCTTCATTTTTTTATCTATTTCGCATTCTGTCCTCCATCCCCCTTTCATTCATGAGGTTAGTCACTTTGAAATTATGATTTGGCATGTTATTAACTAACAGACATCTGAGACAGAGCCATTGATGACCGAGTTTTGGTTATATGTTCTAGTCAATTCCTACTAAAAACGCAATTCGACTCTCCTCTTTCCATCAATGGCTCAAACAATTGTTAACAAACCTTACAACTGTAAGCCACTTTATGAAAACTGTATAATGAAATATGTAATGTAATGTCCAAATGATGTCATATATTATATTGGTGGATATTTGCTTTTTTAATAAATCTCACCATGCCTTGAATGTATTGATTTAGTTTAATGTTGTATAATATTATTTCTTTATTTCATGTTTTAATTCTAAATAAAATGTCAATGTTTTTATATTCAGCTTCAGAAATAGGAAAGCAAATCTGTGCATATTTCGCCCACTGTTTTCCTGTATAATTTACATCCATAGGGTTATGACCAATAGCTGCAAGCCTTTTCTCTAATGTGTTCTCTTTTAATTCATTTCTGTCATTTTTTCTTTCGGCTTTGTTTTATTTAGAAAGCTTTTGATACGATGTCATTGAAACATTCAATTTTGGCCCACATATGAGCTCAGCTCTGATAATGTTATAATAATGTTATATCTGTTGTGAGATTGTAGGTTTCATGAAAACTAAATCAGATGTTGTTACTAAAACATGTTTGGTGCTGTCCGTTCAACATGTTAAAGCTCAAGACTCAGCAGAATTTCAAATCACGATAAAGGTTTTTTTAGACTTCAGGTTTTTTAACCAAATGAAGAGAACCCTACTCTCATTAATGTTTAAAATGTATTATGTATATATATATATATATATATATATATATATATATATATAGGACTTCATTACTTTGTAGCCAATGTTCCAAACATAATGGATGATTGACATTAATGTACTTAAACCTCTGGGAAAGCTATTTGATTGAGCTTCGACAAAAGTTAACAGTTTTTTTATTTATCAATATATGTTTACATGTTGAGTTCAAGAGAGCTTTCCGGGTCATTGCTTCATGTCTACAACAAGAATTTAGTACAATGACATATATGTAATGTACTCTTTTTATTAAAATTCAAGAAATGCGGTTTTATCACGACTGTTTAAGCAAGTGATGAATAATGAGTATACATATTGGACAAGCAATTCCTACATTATATTATAGATAAATACTTAAAATAAAAAAGAAACCATTCCTTTTTACATCTAAAAAATCTAATTCTAAATATATGTGGGCTTAAATTGTATGCATAGCAACGTGTTTATCCAGAATCAACACATTCTTACACTGCATTAATTATGACTTTAATTTGAAACCCTAACTTTCCCTAATCTAATACATTCTTCTCTCTTTCTTGTTCTCTCTTTAGGATACAAAAAACAACAGCACCCATGACTTGTCACGCAGCCCTCAGAGCCTCAGTGACACCGGCTACTCCTCTGATGGCATCTCCAGCTCCCACAGTGAAATCACAGGTCTAATCCAAGAAGAGGAGATGAAGCTGAGCGAGAGGGGCATCACTGGACGAGGCTCCCCACCGAGCCCTTCAGAAATCACCAAGCTAGAGAGCTCCATGAGGCCTTTGCTGGAGAAGAGCCTGTCTGAAGACAAGGGGGACAGAAGAGGGAGGAAGCACAGAGACTTGGATGACAGAGGGAAGCAGCGCCCACGCTCCCTGTCAATCCCACCAGATTCATACGACTCTGACGAGGAGTTGGAAGATATAATGGAGGAGGAAGAGGACGGAGGAGAATGGGAGGGTAAACGGAAGGAAGTGAAGGAGGAGAAGAAGGAGAAGAAAAATAAGGAAAAGGAGGCTGAGCCCACAGAAATGACAGATGAAGAGTTCATGAGGAGACAAATAATGGAGATGAGCGCCGACGAAGAAAATGAGGACGAAGAAATGGAGGAAGAAGATGAGGAGGAAGATGAAGGATATGGCTACCAGAAACCCAAAAAGAGCCACCTTAAACATGTCTCTGACTCAGGGAAAGAGAAAAGACGTCTTCAGCACCACTCCAGCAGTTTTGAGGAGGAAACAAAGAGCTCCTCTGATGTCTATAAAGGCTCAATGGAGGAGGGTGAAGATGATTTGATGGCACAAGGAGGCTTGAGGCGCTTCAAAACCATTGAACTTAATAACACCAGCAGCTTCAGCCGGGACATGGAGCTGGGCAATGACAATGACTTGAGCCTCGATCGGGAACCAGAGCTTGAGATGGAAAGCCTGACAGGATCTCCCGAAGAGCGTTCTCGGGGCGACTACTCCTCCACCGTGCCAGCGAGCTCATCCTCATATGGCTCAGGCCAGTCTCCTACTTCCATTTCATCGATGGAAGAGGACAGTGACAGCAGCCCCAGCAGGAGGCAAAGGCTGGAAGAGGCCAAGCAGCAGAGGAAAGCGCGCCACCGCTCCCACGGCCAACTCCTTCCCACCATTGAAGACTCTTCGGAAGAGGATGAGCTGAGAGAGGAAGAAGAACTTCTGAGAGAACAGGAGAAGATGAGGGAGGTGGAACAACAGAGGATAAGGAGCACAGCACGAAAGACCAAGAGGGATAAGGAGGAGCTAAGGGCTCAGAGGCGCAGAGAGAGATCCAAGACACCACCTAGCAATCTCTCACCCATTGAAGATGCTTCTCCAACCGAAGAGCTGAGACAGGCGGCAGAAATGGAAGAGCTCCATCGTTCATCTGCTTCAGAATATTCCCCTCAGAGTCTGGACTCAGAGGCTGAGGGGTACGAGTCAAAACTTTACAAGTCAGGCAGCGAATATAACCTGCCTACCTTTATGTCTCTCTACTCACCAGTAGAAAAAGCATCAACTACAACGACCACCACAGCACCATCTTCTACTTCCAAACCACTCAAGAGTGCCGAGGAGGTTTATGAGGAGATGATGAGGAAGGCAGAGATGCTTCAGAAACAACAGAAGCAACAGCAACAACCAGCAAGACATGGGCAGTGCTATGAAGAGGATGTTAATGGACAAGGTTATGAGGAGGAGTATGAATATGAACAAGATCAATCATATGACAACGAGGCAGCGGAGACAGAGACAGATATTTATGAAGAGATCAGGCAAACATCTCAAAACATTACCAAGATGCAGCAGGCCACTGATGAGCAAGTAGAGATCGAGATTGAGAGCTCCTACCCGGACAAGCAGCTCCTTGACACAGGCTCAGCCTTTGCTAAGCTTCTTGAGCAAAGCAATGCTCTGCTAACTCCGGGTACAAGCCCCACCCAGGTGTCAGCTCCTGTCTCCTTTGCTGAGACTGGAGGACGAATTCCTGATGTCCGAGTAACACAGCACTTCTCTGCAAAGGATGGTCACAAAGAAAGGATCAAAAGCCAAGCAGGAAAGAATGGAATTACTCCAGCAGTGGCTGCCACCACTATTGCCGCTTATGGAGTTTATGCCAGAGATGCAGTAACAATTTCTCAGACCAGTACAAGTTGCACCATGACGACTACTCAGTCAAGTATGTATAGCCGACAAACGGCAAGTCCTGCCACATCTTCAACTACAGTCTCAAGTGTATGCAGCAAGATTGCAGAGATTACCCAGGCATACAGTCAAAGGGAAGTGATCACCAGAAGGGTAGGGGAGACCAGGGATGTCCAAGTGCGAGACAGCTCTACATCTTCCACTGAGAGAATCATTGAGCCACGTTCTCCCAAGTATACTACTTATTACAGGAGCACCAGTCCTCCTCTTTCTCCATCACCCCCAACAATGAGTCCCACCCATTCACCTTCCAGAAGGAATACTGCTGAATTTTCGACACAGACTTTCAGTTCAGCATTACGAAGGTCTGAGTCAGCTGGCGCTGGGCCTACGTCTCCAGTGACTGCTCAGGGAACCCAAACATCAAATCGATCAGTGTCCCCACGGCTCTATCACCAACAGTCTTCCCAGGATACCCCATACTCCCCACCTCCAAGCCCAGCTAGGCCAATGACAGTCAACACTGCTACTTCTCCCCTGTCTTCGCCCACCCGATTTAGTCGCCAATCAACATTTGACAATTTCTCCCCATGTAACAGCCCTCCAGATACGCCACCTTACCACCAGTCTCCCACACGTAGTTTCTGCACAACACAAAGAGTGGAAAAAGTCAATGTTGGAACTAGTATGGTCACCACAGCCAACCATTACTCAAGAGGATCCATGTCAATGGACAACATCTCCCTCTGTCGAATATCTACAGTGCCAGGCACTTCTAGGGTAGAGCAGGGTCATATGATCCAAGGTGGGAGTGTTGTGGACCTCAGAACAGCCACAAAACCAGCTCCTATTATCATGACTGACCAGGGAATGGATCTCACTTCATTGGCCACCGAAAGCAGAAAATATCACGGTGGATCAGAGGGTAGCAGGCATTCAACAATTGTACAGCCCATGATTATGAACCTGAACACCCAGGAGATCATCACTCCAACAACTGTGAGTGTCACTGTGGCTGCCTCCATGTTCATGACCCAGCCTAAACAGCCATCAGTCTATGGTGATCCACATCACAACCAAGTGGATCTTGGTCAGGGCATGGGTACTGCTATGTGTCTTTCCCAGAACAAACCACTAATGTCCCCTCCAACTGACCCAGCAATACCAAAAATTGATGCCAAACTGGAAGACCTCAGTATCCAACAGAAAGAGCTACAAATACAGCAGGAGAAGCTGCAGATGCAACAACAGATCCTTGAACAGCAATTGCATCAGCATCACCAGATGCAACATCAGCAGCAAACGGCATCTGCTTTGGCGAGGTACAGCCTTACCGGACAGATCTCACCTTTATTGAAAAAAGACTTGCTAGTCAGTCAGACTAGCGCTGCCTCAGCTGTGGTCAGTGCTGTAACACCAATAATTAATCCTGAGCTGTATGGCGCAGGTCCTGTTGAGCTGAAAGGAAGGCCCAGTCCTCCTGGTGTGATATCAGGAGCTAAATCTCCACATAGCATGGTAGTACAGATGGACGTAGGGCCAGAGCAGGCGAGGGCTGTGACTCAGCTAGTGAAGGTAGAAGAAGGACAGGATGCTATGGATTTGACAGAAGGCCAATTTAAACCTGACAACCAACCAGCTTGCTGTGATGTTGTGTACCGACTTCCATTTGGTGGAAGCTGTGTTGGTGGCGAGACAGAGGGCATAAGGCCTCCATCTGCCCCTCCTCTTACCTATGAGTCTGATCAAGAAAGACAATCCGGAGGGTACCTTGATTATCCAATGGATGAACGTAAGGCCTACACATTACCATTCCCCGGAAGGCTCCAGCCTTCGATGTCTGATACAAACCTTGCTGAAGCTGGGCTACAGTCCTACCACTCCAAACTAGAACCACACATCCAAACTTCAGCAGAACTTGCTATGGATCTAACTGCTATGAAACAAGGTTATGGAGGGTTCATAGGGTTGCAATATGGCTCCTATACAGATTTACGCCATGGAGGAGACATCACAGCCCAAGCACTGCCTATAAGGAGATATAATTCCTTGTCTAACATCAGTTCAGACTATGGCTACTCTGCTCGTGACATTGCTGGCTTCCAAGAAGCTAACTTGGCTCAGTACAGTGCTACAACTGCCAGGGAGATCAGCCGTATGTGTGCAGCACTCAATACCATAGATCGATATGGAAGCAACCCAGACTTGATGCAGTTTGGTAGTTTGGGGAGAGGAACTGGGCCTGGGGCTGCCAGGCTCGCAGCAAGTCTTGGCATCAGGCCAAACCTTCTTTTTGGAACAGACGGGAAGCCAATTTCCCACAGTCAAGCACTAACCAACCTTATCAATGCCAGGCAGGCTAGTCTCAGGGCTATGTACCCTACTGCTATAAGGTCCTCTGATGGGATGATTTACTCCACCATTCAGACCCCCATTGCTTCTACACTTCCCATTACAACTCAGCCTGCCTCTGTTCTTCACCCAATACTGAGGGGGGTCTACAGGGCATACCCCTCTGCCAACATGACACCTGTGCCCCTATCCAGTCTCAGCAGACTACCAATGAGCCCCAGAGTACCCTTAACCGGACAAGCTCCAGTCCGTTACCCAGCTCCAGGTCTTCTCCAAACAACGTCAATCGCTGCCACTACTGCTGGTATTGCACCAGTAGGTGCCCCAGTGTATGTTTCTTTGACAACGACAAGCTCTACAGTCCAGGATGAACCAGTTTACCTCGGTAGAGGTGCACCCTCATCAACAGAGGTCACCTCAGTACAAGGAGTTGTCATACCAATAGAGCCACAGCAGCAGCCTATAAACCTGTCCCAGGCCCACCTGAACAGTCAACAACAACAACAGCAACAAGTGGCAACTGCTCAACAGCATCCTCCAGGAGCCTATGCCTACCCACCCTCTGCTCCTTCACACAGTCACGGCTACAGCCAACCTCCAGCGGGCCCCTCTGCCCCCACTGGTGGCTTACCCATTGCAGGGGGTCTTCCTTCCTTCCCTCCACCAGGTGCCGTACATAAGGAGGGTGAATCCGAGGCAGAGAGGCTGCATCGGCAGCAGGAGCAGCTTCTGCAGATGGAGAGGGAGCGCGTTGAGCTGGAGAAATTACGACAATTGCGCCTGCAGGACGAGCTGGACCGAGAAAAGATGGAGCTGAAGCTGCACAGGGAGAAGGAGCAGATGCTGGTGCAGAGAGAGTTAAACGAACTGCAGAACATCAAGGACCAGGTAGAGGGAGAAACAGGAGGCGGAATGGAGAGTTTGATAGTTGGTGTCCTGTTTTTTGTTTTGTGGTTGTTGGTTTTGCCATTGATATTGTTTTGTTTTAAGTTGGTTTGGTGGTGTGTCTTATTGTGTTATTACAATTTAAATGTTTTTCTCTTTTAATATCACACCTTAGATGTGCAAGCAGTAAACTGAGTTGAAAACTACAATACATAATTTGCTAAATGTATGTATTGTATAACACTAATTCTATATACTGTATACGTACAGCATACATGTTTATTAAGTCCTCAAACAAATTGCGTAAGAGAAAATGGGATTGGATTTATTGATGGCTTTTATGTTCAGAGAAATGTTTGCATCCAAAACCCTTACAAAGATTTGGTTAAAGTTGTAGCTATAGTCTGCATGACATGTAGTTGGATATATCCTGGTTATAAGGTGTGCATGCACATGCCTGTAGTATGTGTGATATGAACTGATAATGCTCAGATGTTGGTTTCATGTTTCATGTGTTGGTTTGATTGATATTCATGGAAACATGGAACGTGTTTTCATATTCAATTTTTTAGACTGAAAGAAAAGTAAAGTTGATTCCATTAAGTTGTATTTATCTGATAACCAGCAAGTACCCATTGCAGTATATCACGTTTCTTAGCAACAGAAAGGCTAACATGACAATTTTCTCCTTTTTTGATAGAACAAGCAGTTGAAAATCTTTCAAGTAAACTCAGTTAAACAGGTGTGGAAGCCTTCCCTAATGAGAATGAACTAGAGATGGAATGTTTAATATTCATCTCATACCCAGCAATATTAGCAAAAATCCTAGCTCGTTCTTTGCATTAGCTTGCCATTTTTGCAACAAAGAAAATTACATATTTTCTTATGAGCATTATGTGACTGGCAACAGCATTAACCAGTACATGCTGCACTTCATTTATGTTGCGCTTCCATTCTTGTTTTTTGCAACATATAGAGGTTTGACTAACGTGGAAACATTTTTCAAAACTAATCCATCAGCACAAGAATGTCACATTCAGTGTCAGGAGTCTTTGATCATCTGTTTAACAACCAGTTGTGCCAATAACTCAACAACTTTGTCCTCTTCTGTCCTACTCTCTTTTTCAATTCCTATGTTTCATCATTCATTTGTCTTGTTTGATCATTTCATCTCGTCCCAACATGTTCACTGTCACCGTCTTCTGCTACGCTTCTCCATCTTTTTCATGTGTTGTCGTTTGTCGACGTGTGCTTCTTCCTGTTCCCCCTTCCACCAACATTATTATTAGGTTCTACAGCAACAGCAACAGGAACGCGAGAAACAACTGGTTCTCCAGAGGGAGCAGCTGGCCCAGCAGAAGTCCCAGCTAGACCAGATCCAGTCTTTACAGCATCAGCTCCAGCAACAGCTTGTAGAGCAGAAGAGGCAGAAAACAGCTTTAGCTCAGAGCATGCAGGTGAGGCGCATTGGCAGCTGGCTTGAAAAGGATGTGACATGCTTGTATGATTGAATTAAAGATTGATGTTGCAGGCTTAAGCTCTGGTGCATAAGTAGAAGTGATCTCAATGTGTGCTCTAGTGCTCGTCATTCTCAGTTGAATCAATGATGGTTGACCATTATCAACCTTCAAATAATTGTTTCTATCTTCAGTTGGATGTGAATGAACAGCCTTTGCCCTCCTTCACCGACTCTCAGGCGGGCTACCGTTCTCTCCCCAACTCCTCGTCCGATATGTGTCTGAGGAGCCAGCAGGAGCCCATGGAGACCAGGAGCAACATGAGGAAACACAGCTCCATGACCAGGCTGAGTAGAGACAGCTTGGACGCAGAGGGCGTGGTGTTTTACGGCTCCCCCCGCAGGAATGTGGACAGCTGTGTACAGACAGACGAGGAAGATGGGGAGGAGAGGTGTGTATGTATATTGGGCAAGGATTACCTTGATGGCCTTCCTACTCAGTTACCATTTTTTTTTTACAAACCAAGAGACAAGCTTATGCAGCCTTTATGATGAATTAAAAAAAATGTAGACAAGATATATATATATATATATATATATATCTTAGGGATGTGCATCTCCATCACTGAGGCCGATGCCATGCGCATCTCGATACGTTGCCAACGATACGATACATTAACAATACATTTGAAGCACCGGGCGATGCGATAATAATGCAAAATAATGATACAATTCAATATGGTACGACAGAGGATTTTGTTTTATTCCTTATATGCAGCAAATCATGAATTAACCAAAAATGCTTCACATATTTGGTTCTCTCTACTAGTACTGCTCATCCCATTATGCTGTTTCTTTTTTACCTTTAAAAACCACTTGGACCTTTCACAAACTGGCCTTTTCACAAGTCCTTTGTAATAGTGTTCTCTGTCTCCAGAGTACAGTTCCATTTTATAACACCTCACAGTTAAACAATTTAAGGATGCATTGCCCAGGATTAACAATGTGCAAATAACAACTACCATAGTGCAATGCCCATACAACTGCCAGCCTGATGTGCTTAACACTCATCCATAGGCTAACTGACCAGTGAGCAGAAAGCAGTGGTGTGGTTTCTATATGAACAATAAAGAATACAAATAACCTTTCACAAACAGGTATCTCATAACTGCTTACAATTGTAAAGAAGACATTTAAACTATTATTGGCAGTCACAGGCTGCTGTAAACTAAACACCACTCTCTGACAGAACACCTCACTGAGTGATTGAACTCATATGTCTAACTTTCAGGTTTTTCTTTTCAGCAGCAGACCCCATGTCGCCTCTTTATGTGCGTCGCTAAGTTCCTCGTACTACTTGTGTAGTACGAGGAACTTCGTTTACAATTTGCTTGTGATTTGTCAAGTTGTCCGTCTTTCTTGAAAAATCCGAATTGTTGCCAAACATTTGATTTGTAGGTATTTTTCGGTGCGCTGTGTATCTCTTTCTCCACGACTTCCATGTTTGTTGATAACTGTGACGCGGCTCTCAGCCTCCGTAGTGGCGAAGCAAAGATCAAAGATCGTCTCTGCTGAGTGCTGACAGGATGAGAGGATATTATATGAATTCATCGTTTTTTTACCGATGCAAAGACGCTACAATAGATGCATCGCGAGTTCAACCCAAACTGTAGCCAATGTGCACTCTTTCAACCGGTGCACTCGCATTTTGAACGTTTATGCCGGTGCACCGATGCGAATCGGTGATACTTAACATCCCTAATATATATATATATATATATTTATATATATCGAATATTTTCCAGTCAAAAGGCATATGTAGACAATTGAGTAATTGCTGTCAAGTTGTAAGTGTTTTTTAGTTCCGTCCAGTTCCTGTGAGTCGATTCCATTATGGTTCATATTATTTTTTATCTTCTTCTCTTCTCTCCAATACCAGGTACATGATGCGCCATCGCACCAGAAGGCGTGGTCGCAGCGTTGACTGCTCCGTCCAGACAGACGATGACGAGGACAAGGAGACGGAACACCCAGTTCGCCGAAGACGTTCCCGTTTCTCCCGGCACGCTGAGTCCAATGCCACTGGCAGCAGCACTTCCGCCACATCCACCGCAGCCACTGACACCAAGACAGACTCTCACAAGATGGTTTCTTCCAGTATCGCCATCCAGACCATCAGGGAAATGTCTTGCCAGACAGAAGTGGAGCACCTAGGAAGAGTCTCCCCAGCAATCCATGTGACAGTACCAGACCCGAATAAGGTAGAGATTGTGCATTACATCTCAGGACCTGAGCGGACCAACAAAGGACAGTCTCTAGCATGTCAGACTGACCCGGAAGCCCAGTCACAGGGTGTTGTAGCCCCTCAGCTCAGTGTACCAACCACAGTCAGTCCATATTCTTCCTCTACCAGTACTGGAACTCAACAATCTGGCTCTGCGGACCTCCTGAGCCAGCAGCGGCAGCAGCAACACATCGCAGCAAACGCAGCCAAGTTTGAGCGACGCCGCCCAGATCCACTCGACATCAACTACCAGCCTCACAACCACATCCACAACGAGTCTATCTCCAGCATCATCCGGCAGCAGCAGACGGCTCCCAAATCCCCTCAAGTCCTGTACTCTCCTGTCTCCCCGGTGTCCCCTCACCGCCTGCTGGAGAATTCTCTGTCCAGCGAGAGGCTGAACAAGGCCCACGTCACACCTCAGCAGAAGTCATACACAGCTGAGTCCCCGCAGAGACACCCCTCTGTGCCCAGACCCATCAAGAGCACCCAGAGGTCCATGTCAGACCCCAAGTCCCTCAGCCCCACCTCAGATGATCACACCAAGGCAAGGCTGTCCCTCTACCAGCAGCAAGTACTCCAGAGCCAGGTAAAGTCAATCATACCATGCTGAGTCCGGAATGGGCACAATTTAGATAAGATAGCCAATTAGTGAAGATGATATGTTAGCAGCTAGACAGATCACTAGTCCAACTTTTCTGGTAATCGCCATTTGTTTCTTATAAAAACAGACGCAAAGTCACTGGCCTTTATTAAAGAATCCTCTGGTGAAAAAAAGACTTGCCACACAAACAAACTTCATTTAATGTTGAATGAGGTATCTTGTTATCTGTAGTAGTTTATGTTCAAGTATAGGGATGTAAGGTTTTAAACCACTTCTATTCATTAAGGAGTAATCCACTTCCACGTTGCATTGTCAAATCAATCCCAGAAGAAAAACCAAACAAAGCAAACTGTTTTGGGACGAGTCTGCACTTTTTGTATACTCTGTATTCATGTCACGCATTGATACATTGACTCATCTGATCAAGATACATGTACTTTCTATCTATATTCAGTTTTGCAGTCAAGATATACAGCTACGATGAAATACAATGAAACTCTTGTCTTTGGGGTCCAAAGGGTCTAATCATGGTCCTAAGATTTAAAGTTTGAAGTATGAGGCCTTCAGACGCTAACCATCATTTGCAAGGACAAGAAAGCTAATTAAACAGATGGAAACAAATAGCTTCTTTATTGTGTCAGAACAGCATTAATTAAACAAGCAATGGATTCAACAAGGTGTTGTTGACATCCAATCCAGGTTTAGGTCCATAATGAATCAATAACATGTACTATATATTTTGCCATAAATGCATGCTGCCAAGCTCTGAATTCATAACTGAAAGAAGATGTATTCCCTGACCATTTTAAGGTGACTCATTTCCAAACTTTGTTTAGCTTAATTTTTCTACACATTCCAATACCTCATAATAATAATAATAATAAGTCAGACCATCTTTAGAGAATGGGTTTTGTCATTCCCTTGCATCCTTCTACCTTATTATGCAACATTTTGAATTCTAGAGCAGATAGTGGTGTTTGACATGTTAACTTTGTTGAATCACATAGTTCTTGAAACAACAACCTAGCAAAAGCCTGCGATAGGATTTAAGTGGTTTGCAATAGATAAGTCGATTAATTATTGGAGTTCTGCAACACAATTGACACTAAACTTCATGTTCTTGTAAGTCCTCTAATACGAACTCCACTCTTGTTTCCTGCTGTCCTTGTCTCTTTGTCTATTCGTGTCTCCTTTGTCTTCCTTGTATATCCCTTTGCTTGCATCCTCTCCTTCTTTCTGTTCCTTGACCTCGTTCTCTTTTTGAGTTTTCCTCCCTCTTCTTCTTCCTGTTCCCTACATCCTTCTTTACCTTTCCTCTCTATTCACTTTTCCTCTTTACGCTTCCCTCTGCCTCTTCCCCATTCCACTCTACCACCATTTCTCTCTTTATTCTTCCCTCTATTTAATCCTGTGTCCTTCCTTGTTCATCTTCCTATTTTGTCTCATACCCTCCCTTGTCTTTCTCCCTCTCATATTAACATTTGGTTACTTGCGCACCATCCCATCGACCATTTCCCCACATTCACCTGTTCTTCTGTTTTACCTCTCCGATCCCTTTCTTTCTGTACTTCTTTGTCTCCCCATATTCTCCTGCTCTCCCATCCCTCCTTCTCTCGCTCCCACCCCCCTCTTTCTCTCTCTCTCTCTCTCACTCTCTCTCTCTCTCACTCTCTCTCTCTCCAGCTGGCTGCCCTACAGCAGAGCTCACTGCTCCGTAAGGTCAAGCGAACCCTGCCCAGCCCTCCTCCGGACGAGACAACAACATCAGCTCATCTGCCCATGATGGCACCTGCCCTCCAACAGGTCTACTTGCCCTCCGTGCCCAGCCACAAGCCCGCCACCAGGTCTGGCCTGGCTGCCAAAGCGAGCCTCCTCAAAGACCTCACCCACGAGCTGAAGGCTGTGGAGCAAGAGTCGACAAAGCTGAGAAAGCAGCAAGCTGAACTGGAAGAGGAAGAGAAAGAAATTGATGCTAAACTGAGATACCTCGAGCTGGGGATCCACCAAAGGAAAGAGACTCTAGTAAAGGAGAGGGAGAGGAGGGATATTGCCTACCTGAGATGTATGGGCGACAGTAGGGACTACATGTCTGACAGTGAGTTGAATAACCTACGTTTAGCAGCTGCAGCTGCATCACATGAGACCAATGGGCTTCTGGCAGTGAGGCCTAGCACTGCTCCTATGAGTCAGTTCACCAGTGACCTGAACACAGCAGCCCAGTACCCACCCTCCTCATCCTTCCTCTCCTGTCAGTACCCCCAGAGCCAACCCGCACCACCAATTCAACAATCAAGTGTGCCGTACCAGCCCACAACATTCAACCAGCCTCCCTACCCAACAGTGTCTCAGTCCCAGGCACTGCCACAGCCAACACCCCTTCAGAGCCATGTCCCCCCTCCAGGACCTTCTTACCAGTCTCAACCTTCCTACCCTTCCCACACTTATCCCCCAACTCAGCCCCCATACCCCCAGACAGACATGGGGTTACCAGCTGCACCTCAGCCTCAACCCCAGCCCGGGCATACTGGTTTTGGGCCTGCACCGCCTGGTCAGCCCCCATACCCCACCCACAGCTCACCCTATCCCAGCGCTGTGTCCTCCTACCCCAGCCAAACCACCCCATACCCTGGGCAGCCCCAAGTTGATATTCTGACAGTACACCCGGGAAGACCAAGGCAGACTTCGCTGGCCGATCTGGAGCACAAGATGCCAACCAACTATGAGACAATCAGCAACCCCACAGTCGTGGTCACCACCATGGCTCAGGAAGCTATCTATTCCAGTTCAGCCCCCTCTTATGGTCAGTACACTGGCTCCACAACCATGGCCAGCTCCTATGGGCCCTATGGCTCAGCACCAGTGTCCAGCAGCTATGGTGGGTACCAATCAATGCCATCCAGCACTTATGGCCAGTATACTTCAACCTCAGCTAATTCGTATGGCCAGTACACCACAACCAATGCTAATACTTATGGCTACACCGCCACCACAGCAAGCTCTTACGGACAGTACACCTCTACGGTTTCCAATGCCTATGGGCACCCTGTAGATAGTCCTTCCACGTACAATCATGCTGATGGAATGTACGGAGCTCCTGGCTTAGAGCAGAATGTCCCAAGGAACTACATGATGATTGACGACGTAAGCGAGCTGACGGCAAAAGACGGGCTGGGCACGACGACAGGGGACATGATGCATCATGGCGGCAGTGGGCGTTATCCAGGCGACATCCACGGCCACAGCAGCACCATTGGCAGCACGACGCGTGGCAGCTCCTCGTACGGCAGGACACCCGAAGAGGAAGCGGCGATGCAGGAAGAGCTGTACGACCAACACGGCAGGGGTAAGAGCAGCTACAGGCACGGACCTCTAGGGGGCAGCAGCAGCAGCGTGAGCGCTAGCATGGGTGGGGGATCCTCCTATTACTATGACTTCGACTACAAAAATGGCGGCATCCGCTCCGGGGTACAGAAACCTTCACCATCCTCCAGAACCCTTCTGGCTCCTGCTGTCATGTCTTCCAAGCGCAGCAAGCACAGGAAACTGGGGAGTATAGAGCAAAAGATCTCCAAGTTCTCCCCAATTGAAGAGGCTCGGGATGTGGAGGCAGACCTGGCCTCCTATTCCTCAGCAACAGGTGAGGCTTACCCCTCCTCTCACATTCGAGGGCGCCAGCTGATTGAGGATTACGGATTCAAGAGGAATGCTCAAGACAGCCTCAGTGGAGCCTCTCATGGTAGTCGACACTATGGTTTGACAGAGGAGGATGATAGGATTTACTACACCTCCACAGGCCGCTCCCGTTCCACCGGCTATGGCATGGACAAGATCTCAGCCAGAGACTACTCCGGGTATCGCAGCCGATCCTATGAGAGGGACGACCGCTCCTACCAATCTGGTTACAGCCGGGGGCGCCACCCAACCCGGCAGGTCACTGAAGAGGAGAGCCCCCTCAGTCCCCTTGGGAGGTTCATGCGTTCTGGGCGATCATCGAGCTTAGGTCCCGACCCGTACGACAGTCGGAGCAGTAGAGATCAGTACTATGACGGCCAGTATGGTTCGAGCCACTCGCTGCCAGACGTACAAGACCACATACGGGACCTCCCTCGGACGCATGTCTACAAAGCGGATGATACGTACATTATAGATGATTATCATTGCGCTGTGTCAGACAGCGAAGGTAATTGTGGGAGCTCAATGCCCACAGTCTCACTACCTACTACTGCCCCCACCGTTTATCTGAACGTCCCCCACCCACCCAGAAGCTAGGCTTAGCAATGACAAAGAGAAAGATAAAAAAGAGACAGAGATAGCTGTTGCATGCTGGTATTTTCTTCTTCTGAGAGTCACTTGGAGCTCTCTTATCAGTGGACTGCTGTCTGTCTGTCTGCCTGCCTGTCCGTCCTTCCGCCTGTTCGTCCAGTCGTCTGTCTGTCCAATACTCGCATGGTTCTTCGACGTGGTCGTTTCCTTCGTTCGGTACACTCTGATTCACTTGAAAGTCTTCTTTGCACGACACGGATGCATTGTATTTTTGCTTTACAGGGTTTTATTTTAAATTATGTCTTTGATGTTTTGTTTACATGTCTTTGATTTATTAATTCTTTGTCTACACTGCAAAACGGTCCCTACAAATATATTCTTTATTTACACCTTATCTTTTAAAGAGAGACATATTTATTGTTTTGCTGCAAGCCAATTGTTTAAAGTATGTTTTTGCTGCATAAAATAATTACCCCTGTCATTGGCTTTAGATTTAAAGCTTACATTTCAAGCAGAAAAACAGCCCCCAAAACCAGACAGTTTTGCAGTGTTGTGTTATCCTGTTCATATTGTCTTGTAATGTGTTACGGTCCGTGAAGTGTACTGTATACTGCATGTATGTAAACTTTTATTTTTATTTTCTGTCTTTCTTTCTGTGTCTTCTTCCTCCTATTCTTTTCTTTTGCATGCGGTTGGTCTTCTTCTTCCTGCCTCCTTCCATCTCTAAGCCTGCATGCCGCTGTCACCAAACGACATGGAGATTGACTGTGATCTGCTCTCGGTTTCCAAAGCCTACCATCTGGGACAAGAAGAAACTGACTGGTTTGAGAAGCCCCGCGCCAGTTCTCGACACTACGGCAGCAGCCACTCGACTGGGAGGACCCGGCACGGTGTCAAACACACCTACCATGATTACGACGAGCCTCCTGAGGAGGACCTGTGGCCCCAAGATGAGTATGGCCACGGAGGTCGACACTCTACGTCCCGTGACCATCGTCAACATGGCAGCTCTAGCCGACACTCATCCGGGTCACGTCAACCAGATGAGCCGAGGGCCTCAAGGTCATCTAAAGGGCACCCCAAAGACCCGTCGATGCGCCAAGACCCTTCAGTACGATCCTCATCTACAGGACGGCGTGGAGAGTCAAGGTCAGCAGGGTACCAGTCTTCGGACTACTCCCGAGACCCAGCTGGGCCCCACCACGGACAACGCTCCTCAAGACAGGGGGACCCGCACCGTTCCTCACGCAGCAAATCCCAGCCGCCAGGGGACATGCAGGGCCAACCAGGTAAATACGGGGCACCTTTACACATGTAATACAATGCTAACTAATTGCTTGCTTGATTATAGGGCAAATGCATTTATCGAATGATAAGATTTCTTACTAACTTTGTAACTCTTTAACTTATCATCAATAATTTCACATTATTTTAGTCTACATTACAAGGTAATTTAAGCTTTTTGAATACATTGAATAAGTAGTGAAAAGAAGCACCATTAAAAAGTGATTTGCTCATTTATGCCTAGAACAGTACTCATTTAGATTCTGGCCACTGTCCAGATTGAGCAGTGGTGCCAAATATCCCCATTTAAAACAAACTATGTGTCTTATTGAGTTACAGGCTTGTTTTTAATCAAAATGTAAGTCTAGTCAGATCAATTTAAATTCATACAGTTCAATATAAGAAATGTTAAATGTGCCACATGGTGCTTTAGAATATCTACCCTGCAAAAAAAGGAAGAGCAGCAGAAGAGAGATCCCTCTCCAAGGACGGAAGGACTGGCAATCGATGTTGTGTGAACAGAATATCGTTTTTGATTGACAAAAATAGACAAAAAGAATGAAAAACTGATTGATAGTTCTAAACAAAGGACATCTTCTTTCCACCTTGGAGACCTAGAAAGAGGACATGCTACACAAACACACACAAGGCTAACCATTTACTAGGATAGGGAAAAAGGAACAAAAGAATAGAGAAAGAGAATTATGTAGCTTTGCTTGTTTACATTATTATTTTCAGCAGACAACACAGACCCTTTTACTTGGCTTAATAGCTCATATTGATTCGTTAACAAGATTTACCGACCAGAATAATAATAGTAACAGGTACAAAGCTTGCAGTTATCAGAGAATAAAGAATAATAATCAAAGTCAGACTGTGTGATTTCATCAGAAATATTTTTCTTTCCGGAGGAATGGGGCACTGCAGGGAGAGAGAGATAAAGACGTTTTTCATTCACAATCTGTTTCATAGATTAGTGAGCTATCTTAATAACTGCTGCATGCATTGCCAAGACACCCTGCAAAATAAGACCAATAACCACATTGAATTAATGCATCCTACAGACCTACTGTAAACTAAGTTTCCTGAACTGAAGCATGCCCTCAAATAATTATTGTGGCAATAATGATGCTTGAATGTGATCCCTTTAGATTTACTATTTTTGGTCTGAGGCAGACATATTTAATACCCCATGTTGTTAGGAATGGGTTTGATGCTTTTTTACAACCAACTGTCCCCTAAGGGATCAACAGTTTTTAATTAACTATATGAAGCGTAACTTTTCAAAGGAAAGGGCAGCACTCTGGCTCTGTTCTAAGCAATGTACTCATTAAATTGCTGGTTTGATCTTTGCTCACAACTATTGTTGCACGTCATTCCCTCTTTCATCTCACCTGTCAATAATAATAATAATAATAATAATAAACCCTGAAACGCCATGATAATAACAATAAACCTTTCCGTAAGTTAAATGCTGTTTTACCAAGTTCCACCTCACTGATTGGAGCATATCAGTCAAGGTTTTTCTATCTAGGAACTGGTCAAATTAGAACCTTACAGGGCACATGCTTACTTTGAGCAGTCCATCATTCCATCAGGCCATCATGCATTGTGACATATTGTTAAGGCCTGCAGGGTTCAGACTCTACTGCTGATATTTTGTATCAATTTATAGTATCGGCTGTAAAAGAAGGAAAATAATCCACCGTCCCTTCCTCTGTCCAGGCTCCTCCAGGTCTGGCAGCAGCTCTCGGGGTCAGGGCTCCTCTGGGGGCCCTACGGGATCAGGGCGCCAGGGTGGTCCGGGTTTGCAGACAGACGGAGCTCCAGGACAAAGGACCCAGCTCCAACAACAAGCCCAGACATCAGCGACAAGGCCAGGACAGCCCAGCGCCGCATCGACCATGGGCCCTCAGCAGCAGCCCCCAGCCCAGGGACAAGGCATGGGCATGGGCATGGGGCCGGGCCAGGCCAAGCCGGGACAGATGGGACCAGCTGGTGGACCCATGGGGCAGGCCAGGCAGACCGGACCCGCAGGAACCACGCCGGCAAACATGGTGAGTACAGAGAGTTCAAAAATGTAAAAAAGACTTGCAGCTTTTATTTACATGTTTTATTGTACCATATTGATATAAAGGGAACAATAATAATAACACTATAGCTTCAGTCAATATTATCAGTTTCCGCCTCTATCCATCCTGCTCTTAACATTTGAACACCCTGATGCTAGCTAGTTTCCACTGTTTTCGCCCTCGTCTGTGTCCCTACACTCTCCCAGAGATGAGAGCTGCTCTATCTCTGCACAGTTCAGATTGTTTATTTCAATTCTGCTGTGTCTCTGTTGCCAGGCTTTATCTAACACTACGATTAACACCCAGGCAGCTGATAACTGAATGTAGCTGATTCACTGTCTGCTAGACGCTCAAGAAATTAACACTCAAAATGTCTCCCTGCTAAAATCTATTGCCCCCACCATTTACTCTATAATCATAAATCCATGCAAATCTCTTTGCTATTTCAGTCTGAAAACCTCATTCTGACATGTAACACAAAGATTCAGATAGTTTAATATTTCTCTTCCGAATATATTCCATCTGGAGCAAATGTGATTTTTTTTGCGAATGAGGTTTACAAAGCCACTGTCACCATTTCCTAAAATTATTCACAACGGGTTTTCACTGCTGAAAGGCGTCCATGATTTTCATATTGCTGCATTGTTGTGCTATCAGTGGGAAAGCAAATTGAAATAATTCAAATGGTCTGATATCAAATTATGCAGGAATTTGTCTAGGAAATTATTCTGAATGCTGCTGTGGAAAAGCTCTGACAGGAAGCCGTAAACAGTAAATGGCATGTGACATTTGTTTATTATTCAGTCTGGAAACTCATACACTTACACCCCTATGTTAGGTCCGTTGTGTAATTAAAATCATTGATTAAGTGGCTGTAAATAAGAAAATGCTGCACAGTGAATCATAATGCACCACCTCTGCTAAACTGGAACAAATACAGAAATGTGTGGCATCAGTCCAGTGTCTTTTAAGTCAAGTGTATTTATGGATGAGAATAAGTGACACAAAGAGATGAACAGAAAACAGAGGACACAAATTAAGATCATAAAAATGGTCGAGATCAAAACAGGGCTATATTTCCTGTGTTCAGATTGTAGCAAGTGATAGATATCAGGCAAGCTCTGCTCTGCGTCTTTCCTGAAGCAATTCCCTGGGGTTGCAGCAGTAGTAATTTAGTATTTCTACATGTCGAGAGAAGAGCTGGAAAGAACCACAGCAACACAACTGCTCAGAGTGATTCAGCAGATATCAAAATGTCCAAAACAGTCCACTCAGATAAAAACAAGTGGTGGAGCAATGACGCAGGAACATGTGGGTCATCTACAGTGGCAACCATATCAATTACATAACAACTACATTTATTCATTCTGGTTAGTGCAATTTTAATCGCTTCAATGCAAACTTCACTGAAAAAACCTGTAGAGCTCAATAAATAATAAATAGTACAAGCACTTATGCTAAAGGTTCACTATTAATCTTTGGAATAGTAATTAAAATAAGCATAACTCAGGACAAGCCTACTAGCTTTTCGAGTGCCACAGTGACGCGTCCTAAAACCCGGAAGTAAGTTAGCATTTTACCACTTCCGTTTCCTTCGACAAAAAACCAATGCAATTTCTCCATAGGATTTTGTAAAATAGCTTGAAATAAGGTCTGTGGTTGACACAAATTGAAGAGACAGATCACGTTTTGTTCAGTCGGATAATATCCACATGTCTACCCTACTTTTATAATTTTCGAATCATAAATCTAATCGATAGATTTATGATCGATAGATTTATGATTAGAAAATTGCATTGGTTTTTGTCGAAGGAACCGGATGGAGTTTACTTCCGGGTTTTAGGACGCGTCACTGTGGCACTCACAATATGTAATTTTCTGCAACTTGGCTTCTTTCGAACAAATCAATAACAAAATACAGTGTTGGGTCACGTCGTCTGGTGATCATGGGAGTAGTTGTTAAATATATAATATTAAAAGTAAAGTAAGAAGATTATGACGGAGGTAATGTTGGATTCTACGATTGTCTCTCCGGTGGTGATTAATTATCAGACTGTTGAGACTTGTCACTATAACTAATGACAAGCTGACCTTTAAGCTTTAAGACTATTTTTGTAGAAGAGCCATTTAGGGCATTGCTCTAAAAATGTTCTTTTTGTCACTATGTTTTAATGTTGACGCTACCTTCAAAATAGAAATTCCTGAATATATTAATAAATCAGTTCTTACATTCTGACTCTTCAGCTCCTACGGTTTAAAATTGCACAGTGTCCTCAAAAACCGGTACCACCTTGAATGACCTTTGTCATTCATGCAAGGTTAAGAATTTTCAAAAAGCCTGATCAATCATGGCTGATCCCAGCCTCCCATAGGCCACTGAGTTCAAGTTGCCTGCGTTTGGCTTCAGATACAATCAGCCAAGATGCAGAACCAATACACTCAGGAACTAGTTTGTCCCTGCTGCCATTGGCCTTACACATATCTCAAAGTGATCTTTATATGGTATTTATTGTTTGTCTGATGGTGGTGTGCTAACTGCTTGCTGTACAGCAAACTGCCCCTCTGAGATAATAAAGATATTCTTGATCCTTGAAAACAGTATAACAATACCCCTGCAAAATGATCCTAAGTCAGGGATAGAAATACTACTTTACTACGACTCTGATAGACAGGAAATTCTAGACTGAAAAGTGTGCTAACATTACTATCATGTGAATATATATATATGAATTAAAAAAAAATCCCCAAATTCCCCCTGCTGAAACCCCCCGATTAGACTCCTTCATTTACATCTGTAACATAGTGTCATCACTATGCTAACCAATCAGAGCAGACTGAACTCTGGTTTCAGACAGAGGGTGAAAAGAGGTGCTGCAGCACAGGCAGAACATTTTTGAGAAAAATAAAGACCTTTTTGAACATTCAAGTGTGTAAACATTTCACAGTAGAGGAACAAAATACAAATATCATCCTGGGATTGTGCACAATAGGGCCCCCTTTGAGTACATATAGTGATATTTAATATTTGTATATTTTAAATATCACCCAGATTGAATTACAATGATGAAATATTTAGGACCTGATAATAGATTTCCCAAAAGCTATTCCATATTAAAAATATGAATTCCCCTGACCATGAAACAAAGCAAATGGGATGAACTATCTTTTCCTCAATCGTTATATTCTGAATGGGCCTGATAACAGTTGACAGTTGGCCGTGTTGTCGGTGTTAAAACTCATCATTCATGTCATTCAGTGAGATGTCACAACACAAAACAATAGGGCAGCAGCTTTCTCTGTCACCCCTCCCTCAACCTTCTCTCTATTTGTGTGAAAATGATGTGAACAACTGTTTCCTCCCCACTGTTTTCAATTACCAACAGTTTCACTGTGCAAGAAGTACAGCACTGAGATCCCCCCAGCACCACTCCTGCTGTTTTAATCTTTTGGTATCTCCATCTCTCTCCCCAGGCCAAGATCGACACGCCTCCAGTAACAGCGATTGGAGCAAAGGCAGCGCCCGTCATTGCCGCAAAAGCTGCCCTGCCCCCCCTCACAGGCATAGGTACAGTTATGATCACCACACACAGAGACTCCCACCACTCACACGTTTTGCCAGCTGCTGCCCACTGTGTCTGTATTATCTAACCGCTGTGTGCTGTCTCATCTAATCTGAGATTTATCTGCACATAATCCCACAGTGGAAATCACACAGGAGGGGTTTCACTTCATGGCAGCGGATCACACTCATTGTGTTTAGTCAGAGTTGGTCAGTTAATTAATTTGGTATTATGTAATTCAGTCAATTAGTTGAGTAGGTCGTGAAATCTATTAGAACATTTCTGGATAACAGTTTTTTATCAAATGCGTGGATCTGATGTCCCTCAAACAGACATGATTAACAGATAATAGGCAACAATTCAGACATTGACAATTGTTGAAATATTTTTACAGCAAAGTCAAAAATGCTACATAAAAGAAAACCATTAGTTATTCTTCAAAATGTTTTTGGTATATCCTGAAAACCCTGTTATTTTGACAACATACGTCAGTCTAGGAAATTGTGTTATTTTTCATGATTTGTTTATATCACGTTTCTGACTGTTTTCATTTTCTGATTATTAAATATTGGAAATAAACTGGTGCTATAAATCTTTCCCAAACCTTAAAGGAAGGGTTCACCCAAAAACAAACTAATTTGGATAAATGTCACACTAAAGCACATAAAGTCTTCTATAAAAAACATTTGAACCAAAGACAAATATCAACGCTTTGATATCACTGTGGTCAGTCTGTCTGTCCTTCTGTCTAGATGTGTTGTTAAGTAGTCTGTTAGTTACATGGACAGTAGAGAAGTAATGAATGACAGCTACAACAGCACATCTATACACACAATCTGGCAGCATAGCACAGGAAGTCCATGTAGGTCTAGCGACACATCAAGTCAAGAGTCTGTATCAGTGGACTAACAGGAGCAACTAGTGAAGGTTAAGACATCATATTACTGCCCACTCTGTTTGAAGTGATCTTTGGAAAGTGCAATGACAAGACACAGAGCACTTAACACCACAGATTTCATCGTAGAAAAAGAAAACTGACATCTCTTGTCCTCTGGAAACATCTCTCTTCTCCTTTCCCTTCCATTTCTAATTTCTCCTTCCACTTTCCTGTCGTCCTCCCTTCCTCTCTCTGTTTTCTTCCTGTCCAGGCTCCAAGGCAGCTCCTAGGCCAGGAGGTATTGGCAGTGCAGCAGCAGGAGTGCCTGGTATGGAGGGAGACGGCATGTTGTCCAAGATCCTCCCTGGAAACGCCGCTGAGCAGGCCGGCAAACTGGGAGATGGTACGACATACAAATCACCAAAAAACAGCACATTTTAAACAACTGATTTGGCCCTGATATAATGTAAGACATCAGTCATGTTAATAAGGTATCAACTGCTGATCATCACCATGTTAATAGCCTAAAAATGTTTGGAGGAAGGCACTTGTCAAACTAGATACTTTACTTCCTAACGTGCCCTAAATAATATTAATTGGATGGATTACTGGCACAGGCATAGGTGACTATTTACTTATTAGAAAGTCATTCAAACAACTACAAAAAAATGTAAAATAACTGCAGAGAGGCACAGAACTACAAAGAGACGTAAAATAACTACAGATAAGCAAATAAAATAAACACAAAACGCTATAAAAAGGCAAAACCACCTCATGACATCACAATTGAACTGTAATAATAGTAACTGCTAAAAGAGCTTTCAAGTTGCGCATCAACCAAACTCAAATCTTTTCATGCCTTTAATCTACAGTAGTTGCACATTAAGAATACACATCATTAGTAATGCAAACACTTTATCTGGTTGAGTCCTTCAGTTCTCACCCATCAGCTAACATCTTTTCTTGTACGCTTTCTTTCAGCTATAACCGGTTTGGGCAAGAAACTCACCTCTTTCTTCTGAGGTGCTTATATTAAGGTATGTATTCTCTTTGGTTTCTTTGTCTTACAGTATGTATGTGCAAAGTTAGACCTGCAGAAGCCGGATCATTCATTGGAGAAGCAGACCTGAAAACACTATGGAACAGGAAGTTGATTAATGGTGTACAGGGGCTGCTGTTTTATGGGAAAGGTTGTAGCTGAGGTTCTTACGTTTAAAACAGCTTCCCTAGAGTAGTTTAAATTGATGAACTCCTCGCAGATCATTTATGTTGAACTCTTTTGAATATAAGTCATAATAATGTTAAATAAAGTATAACCTCATGACTGTACATGTGAGAAAGCAAAGACCACTTGTCTGCTTCTCGGAAGATAATGATCGGACAGCAGCAGTAGATCTGATCAATGATTCATGTACAAAAAGCTGGAAACATTTATATGTCTCTTCAGTGAACAAAAACATCTCAACATAAGGTACACAAATAAATCTGTGAGATGCTGGTGGGATAATGACAGATAGCTACACCGGGTTGTTTTGACTCTTGTAGGCAGCAGCGAGTGGGCGACTTCAAAGTGGTTTACTCAGAACAGACTGTGTTCCTAAAGCAGCGTGTCTAAGTGTCTGTGTGCTCTTTTCTCAGTCGGTTCTTATTTTTCTATATATTTTGACAATGACAATTTATTCCTTCTATGACTCACTGTCTGTTTCAAATGAGTTGTTTACAGCAGATCATTCCAGCTGATATGTGTTTATTGTGAAATGACTGTTTTGAGATTTGATATACTTGAGACTGGACTTTCCAAAATCATGAAACCAAGTTTTGATGTTTTAAAATAGCAGAACAATAAAAAATACATAAGACAGCTTGCAAAAGTCCTTGCATGGCCGCATATGTTGAATATTTTATTATCGGGCTCCATCTTGTATCATGCAATTTGAATGGACCACGTTGAGGGATGTGAAGCATTTGCAGCTTGACTTTTGCTGATTTTGACATTTTCAAAGACCGTTCTTAATATGACTGGAGACTTCTTTAAATGCTAAAATGTCTCCATGTTTTTGCAGGACTATGTAAATGTGAAATGACAGCTACGAGGCCCTGTACCAGACAAACCTGTGGCATTTCCCCTGCTTTTAATTTACTAAAAAAGAGAAAGATGATGAAGAGAGAAGGGAACAGAGAGGAGAGCTGAGCTTACTGGTGAGTACCTTAATTGTCATTTAACCTGAAAACACTGATTTATGTAAATGTGTCTGCTACCACAGTTTCACTAAATATCTATTCATCAATCCTGGAAGCTGATTACTAAAATCAGCTGCTGCAGTGAAACCCAAGCCTCATTCATAAGCATATTTATGTCATATGAGAGTTGGTTAAAGGTTAAAAAGGTAAATATAGCAATTAAATGTGGGTTTCAAGACCTTGAGATGTGTGTGTAGCTTACATGATGCATCTGTGTTTGGTTGCTTGTCAGTTTTATGTATCATTATGCTTCAAGAGATGTGTATCAGAGCTTTTAGACTATAAACAAATCAGAAACTGGTAATTACCGTAACCCCTATATGAAATGAACACAGCCTAACCTTAAAGAGTCCAAAACTAATGGTGCATTATGGTGACTTTTATAAAAATGTGAAGGAAATAATTGTCTTTATTGCCACCCCTAACCCCAGCCCTAACACAAGTAATTACAATGTGTAAGAAATGGGGCAAATGTGGCTAGTTTCATGATGTTAAGGTAATGTTAAAGTTTGGACATTTAACTTTCTCACATGTTTGAAAATTAGCAAAAAATACGATAAGATAAACATATATCTATATAACTTGACAACATATCCCGTGGGCACATTGGGAACCACGTTGAGAGTTTATTATATATATATATATAAATGATGTACAGATTGTATCAGAGGATGGATGTTTCCATCAAGTAAATCTCCTGGTCTGAAACGCTGCTGCTTCCTCTTGCAGCCAACAAGGACTGGAATCCTCTGGATGCTTCATGTCTCAGGCCTGAGCACACACTGCCAGAAAGAACACGCTGCTCTCTCTGGCAGTTCAGACAGTAAGTTACTTTCAAATTTTCCTAACTGATTCCTTAGAGATCTTTTTAAAACCAAACTATACAACTTTCCCAGTAAGTCAAATCCAAAGGGGACCAAAGTCAGGAACGTTCATTTGACCTTTAGACCCAGCGCACAGTCCTGCTAGTGCTGTTGCGCCTTACCAATAATAGTCAAATAATAGTATCTGCTTCAGTGCGCCAACAAAGGAAGAGAAGAAGAAAACGGCAAGCTAGTCAACATAGATGAACAATGTTGCATTCAATATACATAAAAAATCTGCTTTGCAAATGTTTTATTAGCTGTTATTACAAGGCTTGGTTAAATACTCGATTCTGATTGGTCAATTTGGACATTTCAGAAGTTAATACTCGATAACAGACTGTTGCAAAGGAGGATCAAAGGACTGTGTATAGACATATCAATTCGGAGAAAGAAGTCTGGTAAATGTAACGTTAGCTGCGGACAACAAACATTGGTTTACCTTGGAATACTTTTTGAATATTTTTTTTTATATTTGAGAGCACGAAACTTCATGATGGCTGAGCTGTACCCAGTGAAAAAAAGAATAACAGGGCAAGAGAAGGAAAGAGGTTAAAACACAGAGCGCTGGACGTCAGAGGAATCAACAGAAGACAGACAGGAAGGAAACACTAACAGGAACTCAGTATGGGTTCTGGCATTGTTTAAAATCAAGTTAATGGAAAAGAAAATGTGAACAGACGTGGACGGTTACAGAACAACTCAGCCAATGCTGCTGCCATTTTGACTTACGATGGTGTCTCCACAGTTCCAAACGGTAATTAGCGAAACGAAAAAAAAATGTCTTAGCATATCAATACAATCAATTTTGACTAACACTGAATGTAAATATAATGTTTGTGTGCCAACAAAATAACTCCAGAGGGGACTTAAGAAAAACGAATCCAGAGCAATATTAATCTACTGAGCAGAAAATACACAATTTTGGTTTACGTATTCCTTTGTCTCCAGGATATTTGTACATCTTCAATTCTTCATATCTCAACTGTTGTCATGTGGAGACAAGCTTTCTGTGCTTGTTCCTCCAGCTCAGCCCGAAGCCAGTGTTGTGGCAGCTTATGTGTTTTTGCAGCTGTTGTATTGTGGCCTTCTGCCGAAAACACTGGCATCTGGGTTGAGTGAGTTCAAAAGCCTGCAGTCAGCTCAGCCAGAAATACATCAGCAAAAGTCATTTGCGTTCCAAGAGCGTGGCAATGATTAATGAACTGCCATTTGATTCATCCTATTAGAGTGCAGGAACAATGAAACATCAAACAAAGAAGATCACGATCAGGCTTGTAGCTCATTTTGAAGAATCAAATTAAACCCCTGCTAGAAATAAAACTAAAGTGGCATCATCGTCTTGAATCACCAGTCCATGTGGGACTTTGTACCGACAAATGGAGATGTCTTAGATTGGTTTGCACTTGTTCAGGTTGTGATGTCATTGCACATTGATGGCTTGTAAAAAATCTTAAAATATTCGAGGTATATTTATCTTCTCTGATGACAACATCGCTGGAGTCAGAATTAGTTCTTAGGTGGGACCTTGAGACCTCAAACCTAAATATAAACTAGACAAAAAGTGAAAAGTGTGTTAAAAGCAATTTCTTTGTAAACTCTTCCTAAAGGATCTTAGTTATGCCATGCCTGAGGATTGGCTGAACAGATCTGTTCACATAATCTAGCATTACAGCACCCTTAGTCTTCTAAAATCAGCGACCCCAGACTGACTTTATGACATTATGTTTTCATTCATACATTGTATGGGGAGGGTGTGTCAGAAAAACACAGATCTCTAACTCAGGAGTTTGATATCCCTGTCCCGGGTGGAACTAGAAGTACATGTTGACATTTTTAAATGTATGTCTGTAAGCTAAACAACGTTAAACACGTACTTGTTTGAGACTAAACCAGAATATTTACTTAAAACTAACCAAGTGGAGTTTCTACCTAAACATAACCATGTAGTTCTGTTGGGTTTAGTTTCATGTTCTGAAGTCCTTACACTGGCTTCCTGTGTGTCAAAGAATAGATTTCAAAATATTGTTGCTGGTTTATAAAGCTTTGAATGGTTTAGGCCCAAAATACATGTCTGACCTACTGCTAAATGATGAACCATCCAGAACTCTCAGGTCTTCAGAGACTGGTCAGCTTTCTGTCCCCAGAGTCAGAACTAAACATGGTTTGTAAAGCACTTTGAATTGGCTTGTGTTGAAAGGTGCTATATAAATAAACTTGCCTTGCCTTGCCTTGCCTTGATTTCAATTAGCATTAATCATAGGTTTAGGCATGTGGCGCAGTGGATAGAGCCTTGGTGTTGGGATCAGGGCGTCACAGGTTCAAACCCCACTGCAGTCAGCATGTCGTTGTGTCCCTGGGCAAGACACTTCACCTCAAATTGCTCCTGTGGGGATTGTCCACAGTATTGAGTAAGTCACTTTGGATAAAAGTGTCTAACAAGTAACATGTACAGTACAATGTAATGTTTAAAATTGCAGTGAAACGGTAGGGGAAGGTCATTTTGTAGGAGTCAGGGTTAGCTACCCTAGCACTCGCGTTTGCTAGCTTACATTGCTGGCAACATTAGTTTGTTCACTAACTTGGCGATCTCCAAAAAGTAATCATTCATTTTTTATAAATAGAATATGTTGACAGTGAATGTTTTTCAGACATAAACCAAAGAAAACATATTGCAAATAAGTTATGACGGATTGTAGAGAGGCCGGTGTGGGTCGTAATGTCAGCTAATGGCTCTGATACAGGGTATAGATGTGTTTTATACGTGTAGAGGCAGTACAAATAGAAGCAGCAATAAATAAATCCAAGCTTCTTTATTTTATTGGACGTACAGTCTTTTGCCTTTGGCGCAGTGTGTTTTGAAGCTTTTGATGCACCGCTGGGGAATGAGCAGGCATTGATGTAGCTGCTGTATTTCACAGTGTGCACAGTGTTGCATATGTGCCATAAAAGATAATGTACTGAGCCTGGACTGTGCGTGTTTTTGTGTGCTGTGCAGCCAAGCGCTGCTGACTAACTGCCTCATGTGAGTCTCTCTCCTCCCACACTGTCAAACATCACTGCTTCTCTCTTCTTTTGCTCTCGCTCTCTCACTTCCATGCTGCCTGTCCCTGCTCGCCTCTGTTTGTCAGGATTGTCATTTTTTCTTCTCTGCATGTCTTCTGAAGATGTAAGGATCTCCCCCTCCTTTTTATCTACCCTCCGCCTTTACCATTTTCTACTTTCACCACCCCACTCATGAGGAAAAATGTCTTCCTCTCTCGGTCTTCACCTTTATCATACACTTTATTGCAAAAAGTATCCAGACAGCATACATTACACACTCAAATGAGATCTCCTTTTAAAACCATGGGTATAATATGTTGTAAGGATTGTCTCCGCTCCTCGAGGAAGGCTTGGCACAAGATTTTGAAACATGGCTGCAGGGATTTGCTCCCTTTCAGCCACAAGAGTATTAGTGAGGTCGGCCAGTAATGTTGGCCTGACTCACTCTCATTCAGCCCTAAGGTGTCGGATGGGATTGAGGCCAGAGCTCAGTATAAGTCAACTTCTTTTACACAAACTGGGAAGAACACTACATCGTCAAAAACACACTTCTAGATCTAGAATATCGTTTTATCCTAATCCGTGACAAACATACCTAGATTAAAAGTATAATTAAACATATTTAAATGTCCATACTGTGTGCTCCTGGCCATATAATGTTGTTTCCTCTCCATCCATCTTCTCCTCCAGTGAGTCAGCTTGCTGTCTGCTGTTTACCAGCCCTTTGGGAGCCTGTTCACTAGAACAGATTCAACCTTAATGCTGGGCAAATGTAAATATACAGCATGTTTGGAGCAGTTGATCTGAGTCAGGCACAGTGGGAGAAAAACCAGAAGGCAGTGATTCAAGAATGATGCATAGCTTTTTCATTTGGGAAACATACTAGAATAACAATGAGATCATAGAGGGGACAAAAACAACCTGTAAATGTGAACATCAACTCCCAAAGTCTAATACCTTTTTCGTCTAATACTATTTTAAGAATCCTTCCACATTTTAGTTACAAACATACAGTTCATCAT